GCCGCTATTGGATGGATTGGATGGCCTATGGCAGTTGAGCCATTGTGTGCCCGAGTGCACGTCTTCTACGGAGGGCCAGGGGTGGATCCCCGGCACCACTGCTGCGTGTGTGCGGCATGTGCATTGTGCATCCAAACACCGTGTTTCCAGTGTCCTGCTAGGTTTGTGTGCGGTAGGGTTGGGCATTGCAGTGAGCGCGCCTGCTTGTTCGCAGCAGCTCGTTTGTGCAGGTGTTTAGATTTTTGCCACGTGAGCGTGAGGGGTGGGCAGGCAAAGCTTGAGTTTTTATGTTGTGCCTTACATGATTGTCTTCTTACTTGCGAAGGAAAGCGGTCTTGTGTTGCTCTGCCTTCATGCTGTCGGGTTGCACTAGGCCTATCAGCTCGTTTGTGACAACATCAAGGGGCAGGTCGCCCACAGACTTCTCACAGAAGTCCGATGCATCCAGTCAAAGTCTTGCTTTGTCTTCCTGTGTTGACTGCCGCGCGTACAAGCTTGCAAGACTATTTGAGCGAATACTTGCGCTTGTCCGGTATAAACGCATCTTGCGAAGAACCCTTGCAGAAACTTCGTGCGAAGTCTTGGGATGATGCAAAATCACGATGCACAGAGGAGCATTTCTCGTATGTGACTATTGTTAAACGCAAGTTTGCCGCCGATTTTCTTTTGTAAGGATGCAAGCTGTGATTATTTCGTCTGGAATGCAAGTGGCGAAGGCGACTTCACGAGAATGTTTGCTTCGCAGAAACTTGTGGGTGTTTTGAGAGGTTCTGTGCGAACCTGCCGCGGCAGCGCTCCTTCATTTTCGTCGGGGGCTGCAACTAAGACAGTAACTACAGGTGTGCGTGGCAGTGCACTTGCAGTTCCGGGAAAGGATTTCCGGTTTCAGCTGAACGCGCAGCCTTTGTGCCCAGACGAAGCTTTCCTGATGAAAGCGACCGCAGCCAGTGTAGAGGAGGCAGCCTCCGCGTGCCACCAGATGGACCGCTGCACTTTTTTTGGCTTCTTTGCGTTCACGGCCAAGCGCACAGTCGAGAACCGCGTTGCTTATTTCTGCTCTGCGGAAGTGGTGGAGACAGTTGGTCCACTTCCTGGCTGGGTCACGGGTGTCAAGAGTCGACTGCTCATGGCGCCCGAGACGAAAACTAATGCGCTGACTCAATGGAATGGACCCATACTGTCGTAGTACCCATAGTCTTGGTTGAGAGTGGGCCATGGATCCCAAGAGATTTTGGTTGTGTCACCTTGAGCTCTGGTAGATTCTAGTAGATGACGTTGCGCAGTTGCCCAGCACCTTCGTGTTGCAGTTGTGATGTGTATCAGTCTGCGCTTGGCATTGTCACGGGGCTGCAACTGTAGTGCAGGCAGGTAGAGCAGGCTTGCGCGTGTTGAAATGACTGTGCGTTATGTGTGATCGGAGATGTGTTGCTTACTTTTTTTGACTGTCCATTTTTTGCCGTCGGCCCTGTTCTCTAGTCTAGGCACCGGTCCAGCCGGCTCCATTGACAGATTGGTTGAGATTCGTTGATGAGAGCTCTGTCAGCCATGTTTCTTCGCCGTTTGCTGCTTGCAACTTCCTGTTGGGCCTTTGTTCGTGGGCGCGCCTGTCTTTCTGCGTGCAGGCCATGCGTTCTCAGCGTGGTTCGTGCGCCTGTGGAGGCAAGTGACGGACGTGGCTGCTGACCCCATACATCGAACAGATATCCATTTCGAAGAAGGTCCCGCGGCGTGGCAGTTTGCTGTGGGTTTTCGCGTCGCGTCAGATTCAGGATCAGATGATGCAGCGTTGCAAGCCTTGCTGTGGGAAGAGACCAAGGCAGTGTGCTGTCATGCTGTGTTTGCTTTTGTTTTTTTTAAATAGAATTTGCGGCTTTCTGTTCAAGGCGGACATGCGAAACGCAGCTGGCGTGGCTGAAGAAAATGCCAGGCTCAAAGAAAAGACAGCTTCTGCTCTTGCCGCTGGGAAAGCTCTCCGGTGCGACCTGCTACTGCGCTTTCGGCGAAGCCTTTGTTGTGCGTCGTTGTTCCGGCAGTTTGCGAGCGGGTGGCCTAAGACAAGCCATTGCTCCGTGGTCTGAGTTTTCGTGACAGTTGTAGCTGCGACGGCAAGCTGCTTGTGTGGCTACAGTCACGGCTGCAACCAGCTGGACATTCCGCTTCTCACCGAACGCCTGAGTGCAACAGCGAAGTGCTTTGTCTATTATCTACAAGTCGCGACGGCTGAGGTTGGGCTTAGCAGCGCACGCAACGATTATCAGGGCGGTAGAAAAGAAGGTTTATAGCGCCAGCGCTTACTGGTAGCAGATAATGCCATGTGAATCTCTCGTCTAGCAGTCTAGAGCCTGCGTGTGTGCAAGTGTTTGTTTACGAAGTTTTGTGCCACGCTCGCTGGCTGTCTTGCTTGACAGTGCGGAGCGAAGCGCAGCACCTTGAGTGTCTCGTGTCGGAATGTACCGTAGGTGTGCGAAGCATTTGTTTATATAGTTGCAGCTCGTGGCTCCGGCTCTGCCCAGAGCCTTGGGCCTTGAGCTAGATCCAGGTAGGTTAGCTGTAGGCTTTTCTGTTGAGCCCACCGCCGCCCCAATCGCCTCCAGAAAGTTTGTAGTTGCTTGCAAGGCCTGCTAGGCCAGGAAAGAGCGCGCGCGTGCCACTCTACCAGCGCATGCAGCCACTCTACTAGCGCATGCAGCGAACGCACAGGTGTTGAGTGAGCTTGTGTGCAGCCTCTGCTTGCACCTCTTGCTGCGCACAAGGTTTCCCACCCTTCCACCCCTTCTTACAGTCTCTATGTGCCTTCCGGAGTGGGCGTTGCTTCGTAATCGCTCTGGCGCGGGGGTTTGTTGGCGTGGGCTTGTGCCCGGTGTAGCCGCGTGTGGCTTTGTGTAGGCCTGGGGGATGAGCCAGCGGCAGGATTCCCTGCCGCGTTTGGTCAGCTTGACATAATGTGTGTTGGTAGTTTACGCGTGCGAAGACTAGAGACGCGGAGTTGTGCAGTACGTGTGTGTGTGTGTGTGTGTGTGTGTGCTGTTACGCCGCCATTTGCCATCTGCCGCCAGCCGATGCAGCTGCTGAATCTGCTGATTGGTCGCCGGGTCACTAGGCGCAATTGTTGGGTAGCCGCGCCCGGCAGGGTGAAGTAAACGCAGGAGGATGGGTCCAATGATCCATCCGCGCAACTAAGGGTGTCCGCCGGGAGAAAGAAAAGTGATGCAGCAGCTTGTGCGTTTCATTGGCCCGTACTAAGCCCTCTCTATCTAGTGTATACATCTTGTGCGTACAGTTGCAGCAGGGAGAAGTGGAGTGGACTTGTCCATCGCAGGGGGACAAGAGCGAGGGAATGCGTGTTAAGGGTTCTTGTGTGTGCAATGGTTGCACTAGCATGTCATGTGTGCTAGTCCGTGTTCTTGTGGAGTGGACTTGTGCATCGTAGGGAGACAAGAGCGAGGGAATGCGTGTTAAGGGTTCCTGCGTGTGCAAAGGTTGCGCTCGCATGTCATGTGTACTTCTTGGCTTGCGTGCTCACTCGTGTCCTCGCAAGTGGCTGCTTCTGCAGGCTCTTTGATTGTCTGCATGTGTGTTGGCTGCCAGCATTGCTGGCCACTGCAGTGTCGTCTCTTATCGTGCCCCGCCCGCTGCCGCCCTACGGCACGAGAGGTCGGGGTAAGTCTTGTGCGCCCATGCTGGGTTGTGGCACATGCTATGCCAAACCTCCTCGAGCACTGGCATGTCTGCCGTGCTGTGCTACGGAGTGTTGCGCTACCCGCGAGAAAATGTGTGCGACCATGTTTGAGGGTTTCGGGTTGTCCTTGTATTGTTCTGCCATGTCTCGAGCACTGTCCCGTGGAGTGGACTTGTCCATCGTAGGGGGACAAGAGCGAGGGAATGCGTGTTAAGGGTTCCTGCGTGTGCAAAGGTTGCGCTCGCATGTCATGTGTACTTCTTGGCTTGCGTGCTCACTCGTGTCCTCGCAAGTGGCTGCTTCTGCAGGTTCTTGATTGTCTGCATGTGTGTTGGCTGCCAGCATTGCTGGCCACTGCAGTGTCGTCTCTTATCGTGCCCCGCCCGCTGCCGCCCTACGGCACGATAGGTCGGGGTAAGTCTTGTGCGCCCATGCTGGGTTGTGGCACATGCTATGCCAAACCTCCTCGAGCGCTGGCATGTCTGCCGTGCTGTGCTACGGAGTGTTGTGCTACCCACTCGCGAGAAAATATGTGCGACCATGGTTGAGGGTTTCAGGTTGTCATTGTTCTTCCATTTGTCGAGCGCTGTCCCGTGGTGGTCGTGTGTCGACCTTGTGGTCAACTGCTGCTGGAGTGTTCCGATCTGGTAATCCAAAAGTCCCCGTCCGCCCGCCTAGGGGGAAGTGTGTACGCTTGCACGCACCGACACTCAACCAAGTGCATGCGGCGAACACTCACACGCAACCGCGTCATGTGTGTTATGGGTTAGTCCACAGCTTGCCCGCAGCAAGTGTTGAGTGTGGAGTGCCGAACCGACCTCGGTTCACAAGAAAAAACCCACCCGCCCGCCCCGAGATGGCCATTCTGGGCCCCAAGTGGCCGTCTAGGGACGGAGGTGTGTGGGCAGTGTCGTGTGTGATGGGACCCTGCCTGGGTCCTTCTCACACCATTGTGCGTCTGGTCCAAAAAAGGGTGAGCCTTGAGTGAACTGTGAAGCGTGTGCTAGTGTGTGTTGTGCAGCTTGCTGTTTGGAGCTTGTGCATAGGATCAGGCTGCACCGTTGTCACAGGCAGATACAGCCTCGTATTCTGCCTGTCTCACCCACCTCCCTGCGTCTTGCAAAACAGTGTCGGCGCGCCTGCACGAGTCTGAGCTTTGGCTTGTTAAGATGGGTGATAAGTGTGTGTCTGCTTCTGCGCTTGAGCAAGACAGTCCCAGAGAAAACGCTTTAGTGCGCAAGGCTTGAGTAGGTTGTGGTTGCCCCATGTTGAGAAGTCGGATCGCTGAATCTAGTGAATCTAGTGCTGTTATATATTGTCATGATCTCGAGGTTTGTGTTAGATTGTGCTAGATATCCCATGCCTGTGCACGGGTGGTCCTTGCCAGCAAAACATTTGTTTGTTGTCGATGCTGGGATCTGTGTTTGTGTGCGGACTTCTTTGCGGCTTGACTGGCTTCGTGCGTGGTCAGCCAACTTTTCCAGATGTGGGCAATGGTGGTTGCAAGCCTTTTGACGAGGCACTGACGCTGAATTTTTTGTGTCCGTGATCAGGGAATCCCTGCCATCGTGAACTCCATCAGGATACTAATAGTGCTCTTGCATGTAGATACGAGAGGTGCCCGACGGATCTTGCTTGTGCTGACGTTTGAGGAAACGCCAGGAAGGCGTGGAGCAGCCGAAGCAGAATGAAAGCCAAATGGTGGTCAGTGACCAGACTAGATGAGAGAAGTGCCAGTGGTGCTGTTGAGACCCATCTAGGCGAACTGTGCTCTCAGGAACAGTTGAAAGCTTCGGGGAAGCAGCGCGTGCAGGCCCTTTGCAGCAGCCTGCGCTTCAGCGATGCTTTTGACTCGTTTGCTCTGTGTTGGCTTCATGAACACTCGTGAAATGTCATGCCACGACTGACTTTTCCGGCTTTGTTTCGAAGCGCGGCAGTGTCGTTGCGCAGTTATTAAACGTGACTGCGACTCTATCTCGCGCGAATGTCATCTGTATTGTTGTGTGTGCGGGCACCCCCGCACATCCCATTG